GACGATCTGAGCCCGGTCGACGGGACCGGCCGATCGATCGTCGATCAGAGAGCGAGGACCGTTAGGGCACGTAGTATAGCGAGTTTGGAGGACCACACGACGCGCGCGTACGTGGAGACAGGTAGCCTAGGTCGGGGACACAATAAGGTTAGGGAGAAAAAATCGAATCGCGAGAGCGACGTCAAGTCCGTCGGCGACAAAACCAAGTTACAAGACAAGGATCGGAAGTCCGTCGAGAGGGACCACGGGAGGGACACTTACGTTAAAAAGACAGAGAAGGCGGACTCGAGGGAGCGTCGGTCCATCGAGCGACTGGATTCGCGCGACCGCAAGTGGGACGGTCACGGTCGCCGCAGCGTGGACCGAAAGGACATCCGAGAGCTGCGGCGAAGTATCGAGAGGCTGGACGTTCGGGAAAGAAGCTACGAGCGATTGGACTCTAAGGAGAAGTCCCGTCACGACCCGTACGAGTGGCGGGGTAAAAGCGTGGAACGCTTAGACTGTCAGGCGTTGCGAAGCAGCTCTGAATACTTGAACAGAAGTCCGAAGGAGAAGAGTCACCGACATTCAGAATCTAGAGAGCGCAGAGAGCGAAGCGTGGAGCGGTTAGACTCAAGAGAGAAACGAAAGAGCCCCGGTAGCAGGAACAACGTAATCGACTACGACCAAAGGCACACCCTCGAGCGCTTCGACTCCGGTAACCGGAGTCCGTTCGAGCGAGTGACGGTGAAGGAGCACCGTGGGAAGAGCGTGGAAAGACTAGACTCTCAGGAGAAGCCCACCTTCGACTTTGACCCGGTGACTATCGAACGTCTGAAGGGTCTGGAGCGTAGCAACTCGAAGGACAGCAGAGTACACGACCGAAAGTCGGAGAGGAGGCACGTGGACCGAGCCGACTCTCGCGAGAAGAAGTACCTCGATCGATTCGACTCGAGGTCGAGCGGCAGGAGTCTGGAGTGCATCGAGCAGGAGATATCCGAGTGGAGGCGCAGCAGCATCGAGAGGATCGAGTACAAGGAGTCGAGGAAGAGCAAGAGAGCGGAGAGGGGCAAGTCCGAGGAGAAGCCTCGGGAGAGGGACGACTGGAGGAGCCTGGAGAAGGCGCGGAAGGACGAGGAGAAGCGGGAGCGAGAACGCCAGGCGAAGCTGTCTATCGAGTCACGGACGGACACGGTCATCGGGGTGCCTATGGAGATGGAGAACCTGAAGTCGAAGACGGTATTCACGGAATATGAACCGAAGATCGTGGGAGGCGTCGTGTTAGGCTTCGACGACACCATCCCTGGCCACACGCCTGTGGAGCGCACGAAGAGCGACCCGAACCCGGCGAGACAACGGCTGGGATCCAACAGCAAGCGACACATACTGATGCATCAGAAGTCCATCGATCTGACGCCCGCCGACTCCGGAGACGAGGACCCGTTCTCCGACAGCGCGGCCATGCAGAAGACCAACGTGGACATACCGTACACCTTGCACAAGCGACACGTGATGAACGGCACCGCGTCCGACGACAAGTCCGAGTCGGACAGCGGGAAGACCTCCAAGAAGAGCACTCGCGACCTGCCCAAATTGCCGCTGAAGATGATCACCGACATCTCCTGCTTCGATTTGTCCAAGTTGTCGTCGATAGACAAGCCGGGGAACAAGGTCTCGCCGGATAAGCCGAAGAGCGCGTCGATCACGCCGACAAGGCCCAAGTCGATACTGAGTCCATCTGATAAACCGAAGAGTATATTGAGCCCCACGTCCAAGTTGTCGCCTACGGACGCGAAGAACGTGATCTGCGCCTTCTCGCCGAGTAACAGAAGCCCCTCGAAGGGCTCGAAGGCTCCGTCGCCGGATAAACCGTCGTTGAGGTCCGCCTCGTTCGAGAAACACACCACCACCGCGGAGATCGTGATCGAGGACCGGGGGTACGTCAAGTCTTCCAGTCTGGATAAGAAACCGTCGAAGCTCTCTCCGATAGAACCGAATGTGACGATCATATCGTCGTTCGAGAGACGGTCGCCTAAGGTCTCGCCCACCGACCCGAACGTGACGATTGTGGCCGCGCTGCAGAAGAAACGCTCGCCGGACGCGTCGAAGGGAGTCGTCGGTCAGCGGTCCTTCGACTCTAAGACGAAGGCGTTGAACTTTGCGGACGTGGTCGGAATGGAAATGAAGCTGAAGCTCGAGCGTAAAGCGAAGTCCGAGGTCGAGAAGGACAGCCTGCAGACGCCGGACGACAGTCTGGAGAAGCAGGACAGCATCGAAAAGATACCTCTGCCGGAGATTCCGATTATGGTGAAATCCGAGGAGGAGCCTAGAGAGGTAACCATGGAAAGTTGCGTGGAGAAAGAGGAGCCTAAGGAAGTAAAGGAGAAACCGAAGCTTCCTGAGAAACCGAAAATTCCTGAGAAGCCAAAGATTCTGGAGAAGCCGAGCATCCCGGAGAAGACGAAGCGCATTCTGGAGAAGATGGAGTCGAAGTTCTCGGCGATGAAAATGGCGGGTCCGAAGATCATCGACACGGGGTTCGACGACTTCGTGGACCCGGTCGCTGACCTGCCGCTGGACGAGGTGCCTGTGAAACCTGTGTTAGAGCTGGACAGTCTGAAGGTCCCCGAGTTCCTGCCCTTCATGTCGAGGCCGCACGGCGAGCCGCTGCGCTCGAAGTCGCTGTCGCTGGCCGAGGAGAAGGCGCCCATCGATACGTTGCTGTCGCCAGAGGTAGAGAACAAGCACTTCGTGCCGGACGTGTCGCCGAAGAAGGCGAAGAAGGCGAAGCCGGAGCCGAAGAAGGACTTCAAGAAGCAGTCCAAGTCGTTGGAGGGCGACAAGCCGCCCCTGAAGAAGGCTGGCTCCAAGGAGGCTCGCACGCCCACCACCAGCTCCAAGATCGACAAGTTGAAGCTGAAGCTAGGGGAGATGCCGCAGGAGATCATCATAATCGACTCGACGGACGTGGCGCCGGAAGTGAGCATAGTGCAGAAGGGCAGGTCGAAGTCGGTCGGCAGACTGTCGGAGAAGGCGTACTCGACGCCGACGAAGGAGGAGAGGGACGAGAGCAAGAGCGGCCGAGCGAAGTCCGCCTCCGTGGACGACGACATGATCAAGGTCGCCGCGATCGCCGCGAAATCGGAGAAGGCTCGCCCGAAGTCGCTGGGCATTTCCAAGAGCCTAGGCAGCACCGAGAAGAAGGACTCCGTGGAGAAGATCTCACCAAAGAGGACCATCTCGAAGAGAGCGGAGACGAAATCCACGGAAGCGAGGTCACCGACTTCCTCCAAGGACGCGCCCAGACGAGAAACTAGGATAACGCGCTCGAAGACCGAAGCCAAGGCCGACACGGACGTCGAAGAGCCTCCGGACGTTTCGGAAATGATCCGACTGGCGCGGGAACGCGAGGAAGCCGAGGAGGCGAAAGAGTCGAAGGACCCCAAGAAGAGCGCCCTGGCGCAGGAGCTGACGGAGTCGCCGGTGGTTCTGCGGAAACCGGGTCAGACGCCCGTGTTGTTCGCTCGCGCTCGTCTAGGTTTGTCGGAAGGAAGCGGAATCGGGGCGTTGCAGAGACAAGGAGCGACGCAGTCGCCCACAGCCCAGAGGAGAGCCAAGTCCCTGGACGCGGCGGTGATCGCGGTGCACAGGCTACCGCCGGCTAACGCGTTCTCCAGCAAGGACGACACCGTAGACGTTTCGGAGAACGCGGAGGAGCAGCAGGAGGGCAGGGAACAGGAAGGTGCGGTGCCACCGGAGGTCGGTTTCGTAGCCAAGCAGTCGATACAAGCGGAAGCGTCGCCGAACCACAGGTCCGACAGCACTGATCACACCACAGTGCCGGAGATCTTCACAGACTCGTTATCCGTTACGGAAACCTCCGCGCAGTACCTGGAGTCGCCGCTCACAGAGTGCAACGAGATCACCGCGAGTGCGGACTTGATTCCCTACGAGAGGGACGTCGTGCAGGAGACGGACAGGCAGCAGAAGACCATGCTGGAGACGGTGAAGGTGGACGAGAGGACGAAGTTCATCGATCAGAGCTCTGTGGAGTCCGGCGCCGAGCAGGAAGTCCCTGATCAGACGGTCAGAGCAGAGAAGATCGATCTGCTCAGCATCTCGAAAACCATCGAAGGTTCTGTTCCGCGGACGAACGTTGAGACGTTCTCGATCGCGAAGGAAACGCAAGAGGTCGACGCGAGGACGTCCGTGGAGAGAGATGACTTACCGGACGTGACGGTAACCAGCGCGAACGTGACCCGAGAAGAGGAGCAGTCTTCCAGGATGATTGATTTTGATGAGAGTCAAGACATGGTCAAGTCACCGATCCAAATTTCTATCGAGGAATGTTCCGACATCGACGACGACGATCGCGACGAGGACGAAGAGGAAGACGACGAGGACGAAGACGAAGCGGTGCACAGCGACGATCAGGACGACGATCAAGGATTACAGGATCAGGATGGCGACGACAATCGTCCGTTAGACTCCGCGGACACCAGCGAGGACACCTTGGACGCCCTTGACACTCAGGTGCACATGAGAGGCATAGACAGCGAGCTCAGTTCGCCGGACTACGGCGTTGACAAGATGGACGAGAAGACTTTGGTGGAGGTGGAGTTGACGCCCGAGTACTTGGAGATGAGAAGGGAGGACGAAGAGGGCGCCGAAGAGCTGCCCGAGGACGAGGAGCCCGAGGAAGGGTCGAGGAGAAAGGAATCGATAGAGGAGCCCAATCGTTTGTCCATCGAGAAGAAGCTCAGGTTGAGCAGCGAGCGCTCGAGGAGCGAGGAAACAAGTACTTGGACGCCGGATCGTGAAGATCCTGAATCAAGTTCCTGTTCCATCGCCCGTCCTTTGGGCATAGGGCAGATTCAACCGATAGTGGATCGACGGGAGATCGCGATGGCGAAGGAAGCTCGCGGCTCCTCGCTGGAGGAAGAGAACGGTTCTCGACTGGGAAGCAAGCCGGAGTCCAGCTCGACGTGGAAGCCGTTCCCGTTGGAGAGCTCCGGTAGCTCCAGCACGGAAGACGGTTGGCCCGCACAGGACGAGAGCGCTGCCGTTCAGTCTCAGTCCGAGGACAGCAACGGGCAAAACGAGGACAGCTTCCAGGAGGACCTGGCCGACTTCCCCGGCAGTTTCATCTACCCGACCGGCCCGGATATCCTGAACAGCTGCGGCACGTTCGCGTTGACTCGAACGCTTTCGAGAATATCCGAGAGGTCCACCACCTCGGAACAGGACAAGAGCGACCTGGAGGATTCACTGAAGCCTAGTTCTAGGTCTCCGAGTCCGGACGACGAGTCGCTCATATCCAGCGACCGCCAGCCTTCCCTGTCTTCCGACCCGCCGTCCGGCACCGCCATCCCCTCCGTTTCGGACGATCGCCGCACCTCCTCCGAGCTACCAGACATCCCCATCGACGTGGTGACCATGGGCCCGGAAGAGGACTTGAAGTCCCCGAAATCACCCGGCAGATCCAAACTGCAGACCCAGAGTTCAGAGGACTGGCCGTCGCCTCCTAGCTCGCCGGTGTTCGACCCGCCCGTGGTCAGCCACGTGGAGACCTTTTACATGGAGATAAAACCCGAAGAAGCGGTGAAGGTGACGGTGACGGACAGCACGGAGACCCCCGGGAGAATGGACCGCGACAGCGATTCCAGCGACGAGAACCGAACGCTTCACGACGACCTGCACTCCACCTTCCTGGAGGACGGCCAGAGCTCCGTGTCCGCGACCATCATCGACGGCACCGTGAAAATAGCCGTGAAACCGAAGTCTAACTCGTACATCACTGGCTCGTCGCACAGCGAGGACACCTCCATGGGCCTGTCCATGTCCGAGTGGTCCAGCTCGAACAACACCGTGCGCCAGTTCTGCCAGTACTCCGGCACCAAGTCCGACGACAACTCGCTGGCGGAGCTGGGCGCCTCTATCTCGGACTGGTCAGGCAGCACCACCGTGGTGCCTCAGCAGTACTACTCGACAATCGCCGCGGACAAGAGCCAGAGCGACACCACCACCTCTGACAAAAGCGTGACCAGCACCAGGTCGAACAACAAGCGCAAGACCTCCGAAGTCTCTCCTCCGGCTCCCTCCTCGCCTCCGTTACCTCCGCCGCCTACTTCGCCACCTC